TCCGCTTGAGGACTGAAAGAAGGCTCTAAGGTAATATTCCTCCTTTCTCTAGACAGAATCTGCTTCTTTGGTGCTGCTGGTCTTTCCTGCCTTCCCTAACGTGTACGTAGGCTGTCTCTGCTGGCAGCCAGTTCTCCAGCACCAACTTAAGCCATCTCTCAAGATCAATCGCATCCCCTGCGGCTTCCCCAGCCCAGAGCACCAGTTGCTCGTGGGAGCACACTTTACCCAAGAGAGCAGAAGCCACTTGCTGCCATGGCGTGCCGGGTGGTGGAGTTAAAGGTGTACCTGTGGACTGGGTCCCAGTGAGGGGCAGGCTCTCCATGTCATCGTAAATGGCAACGATATTGATAGTGTACTCAGAACCTGGCCTGAGGCCATGCAGCTCAGCAGTGTCTTCTTCACCACCTGGGGCCGGCAATAGCTCATGGATTCCATCCTCAGGGCTTGAGTAGGTCACCCTGTACCTGGTGACTTGCCCCTGCGGGCTTTCCCAAGCAATTTTGATGGAATCAACATCCACCTCAGTGAATGTTAGTCCTTTAGGGCGGTCAATGTCTGTTAGGCAAATTAACGGTAAGAGGTTATGTGATAAAAAGCAGGTTGTGGGTGAGGAAAATAAAAAGCATTTCTATTGCATGCAAAGCAGTTTCTGGTTTTGCGTGGGAGAGGGGGTACTCGATTCTCCTCTGTGCTGCACTTTGCACAAAAGCTTATGCCCACGCAGAGCAAGGCTGAGAGTTTGCGGGTGCCAGACAGCAGGAAGGCAATCCTGGCTTTGTTGAAACCAAAAGAACTTGCATTACCACCTTCGGAACAGCCAGGACACCAACTCTTACCTATATCTGAATCCTCTTGGCACTGAACCCCCTTCTACACAAGTCTAGCAGCGTTAAGCTACCTTAAAGTGGTCAAGAGGCAAAAAAGAAAATGGGAATTTTAAGACCCATTTCTACCAGCAGAGACGGTAACTGGTTCCTAGTGCTGAAGGCAGCCAGACAACCCAGCTGACTCGGGAAGTTTGGATTCACGCTGCGTTTGCTTTTCACTGGTGGAAGCTGCTGTGCAAAGTGCCAGTCCAAGGAGAATCAGTCCCGCTATTTTCTTTCATAAATTAATACCCAATTAACACACTTATTGAGAAAGCAAATTACTTGGTATATTATGCTTTAAAATCAGTTAGAACCAAACCTCCCAGCTTCGTTTTGAATGCACAGGGAACATCCACAGGCATAAGTGGGCGACAGGCTCATTTCCAAATTAGACCAATTAATCTGATTTTCCTAGCAAGGTGGGAGCTCAGTGCTGGACAGGAAGGTAACGGATCCAGTACAAAAATTGTATGTCAGATTGGATCCAAATTATGCTTTTCTACAAGATTTCAACTTTTTCATTTGCCATATTACATTAGTCCTGAATTTGCTACATTTCCTAGTTGGCAAAGGTGATTTTTGTCCAGGAATTCATTGGCTTGCAGCTGATGTAGACCCTTCGCTCATCTCTGCAAAGCTTCGGAGAAGCTACTATTGTCTTTAGGACAATTCTTTAAGTATTTGGGGCTGAGCTGTGGTTTTGAATAGAAGCCTGAGCAAGGGAACAACGTACAAATCCCTACCTTAGAGGTGTCCCTGAAAAAGGCATTTTACATCAAAGATATCCCTCGTATTTACATGTTCCCTCCTGGCCCCAATTAGTGTCCAGAGCAATACTGCTGTTTTAAACAAGCAGAAATACCAATTCAAGGGCTGAGCTGTCCTTTCTTTTGCAGTGCTTCATCCCAGGTTTTTTAGTATAACATGGGACAAGTGCTCCCAAGCCCAGTCCAGTCCCTTAACTGTAATCACCTTTGCCACCTAGCTCCAGAAAGGAGACCTTTGCACACTTTTTTCCACTGATTGGCTGAAGGCAAACAAAACCCGAAAAGACTTTGTGGCTTTAGTGAAAGAAAATCAGAAGCACAGCATTTTGAGGGGGTGGGGAACGGCATTTTGCCAGCGTTTGAGCGAGAGGGACGGCATTTTTGCCAACATCTGCAATTTAAGTGCACGGTACTCATCACAGGGCAGAACCACCTTGCATTCTCCTGGAGACTAGGCACCTGCCACTTGCTTTCACTGGGAACATCATACCGCATCGTAGATTCAGACATCAATAGATAACATTTGTTTTGTTACCGTGAAGTGAAATACATACTGGTGACAGCTGTCTCCACCAAGGGGAGGCTCTCTCCATTCTGATTCTGAGCATAGACACTGACCATATACTCAACCGTGGGCTGCAGACCTTCAATAGTGACTTGTGTTTGATCTGGGAGGAAAGAACAACATTAGTCCGCCCGCAGGTGCAGAAAACTGGCCTCTAAGTAGCTTTGAATGAAGGGCCTGTGTAAGCCACACCATGAATAAGCGTCATTAAAATGAGACGGGACTGACATATCAAGCTTGCCTTTTACTTGCACTGTGCTTCTCCGACAATGCACGACAAGGCACCTGTCATTTGTTGCTGCTTAAAGGCCCCACAGCTAGTACAAAAAAACAGAGCAAGAGAAGACCAAGTTTCCTTGTTTTCTGGGATAGGGCCAATCATAACCCAGGCGCATCACAAGCACCCATGAGCGCTCATCTCTGCAGATCCCACAAAGCACACTGGGTTCCTGAGAGCAACCCAAGAGCTGACTCAGCAGGCTCTACGGTAACGAAGTCAAGCCTGTAGCTCATGTGTGACTGAGTCCACGCTATGACCAAGGGTCACATTATGTGACCTTCAAAAGGATTTCCAAGGAAGTTTTACTGGATGCTAGAAAATCCAAAAGAATTTCTTTGAAATCCAGGTGCTTTTCAGAGACACTGAGATTGCCAAGAATAAATCTTTGAGGCACAGAGAAATGTGAAGCTTTCTGGGCAAAAATTTGCCCTAGCTTCTCCCAGATGAGACCCAACTGAAGTCAGCAGGATGGGAAAAAAAGGTGCACATAGGAAAAAGTTTGGCTTTGAGCATATGCCTAATGCCTGACAGTGCTGATTCTAGTCATCACATCTTGCACTCTTTACAGATCTGGTGAAGGATGTCACATACTCTTACCTGCAGGGACATTTTTAGTTTTTGTGGGCCCGTGTCCTTTCTTGGGGACAGCTGTCACCCGGTACCCTGTGACAGGGGATGTTGAAGGGAGCCATCTGATGCTGATACTGTTGTCCTGGACATCGGTAACTTGCATCTGGGATGGTGTGTCTATTTCTGGGCAACAAAAGTAGTTTTTTCTGAGTATGCTGGTACAGGAAACCCTCCCTCCACCATTGCCTCCTAGCTCTTCCTTGTCTAAGCAGGGCTTCTTAGAACAGAAAGGATATGTTGCTGTTTATTTGTCCCTGTGCTAGCCCAGAGCAAGATAGCTTTTAACCGTGATGTCTGGGTGACTGACCTCGTATCAGTGTTAGTTGAAGATTTTTGTTGTGCTAAAGGCTACTAAACGCCTTTATGTGAAGCTACAGTAGGAATAGAATTAGGCTATATCCACATCAGCAGTGGGATGACAGTCCTGGAGTTAAAGTCAGGTCTCATCAGGATCACATAATATGAGAGTGCACCAGAAGCACCAGAGTTAAATACGCAGTGACCCCACTATATGAGAGCCCAGCAGGATTTCCACTCTGTAATAAGCAGTCAGATAATGCTTGTATCCCCATCTGGACTCCACAGGGTCTCCCTCCTCCAAAAGGCCAAGTCCACGATCCCCTTCTGTGTCATGTCATTATCATGCTGGGCCACCATGACACGCAGCTCCACTCAGAGTGATGGGCTTACAACATAGCCCATGACTTCTAAAAGAAACCAGGGATCAGTGATATAAATTTATGGGGATAAGCCAACACAAAGATGGGGGTTTGCATTTTTTTTTGTTTTGTTCAAACAGGTCTCACCTGTTCTGTAGGTGACAGAGACTGGCTTGCTACTGGCAGGGCTGTCTCCACGGCCAGTTACAGCATACACGGTGATGGTGTAGTCTACGCCGGGTTTGAGGCCAGTGATGGTAGCAGTTGACATAGTGCCAGGCACTGTAAACTCCTGCACAGGGCTGTTTCCACCTAAGGAGAGTGGGGTGGAAAAAGAATTGTAATGGATCTCTAAATTATACATTTTAAATCATTACAAAACCCAGAAAGATCCTATAGCTTTTGAAGAAAGGATCCTGTTGTTTTCAGTGGATCTTGAGCCAAAGCCTTTCTTAGATCAATCCAAGGAAAAGAACGAAATACACACACGGACTCACTTTAAAAATGACTGGAGTGTTCCAGATGCTCTTTCTGTCTTGGCAGACAGAAAAAAAAATTATTTGCTCTTCTTTCACAGAAAAAAATCCCAAACAGGCACCTATATTTGACAACCTTCTCTAAATACACTGCAAGGATCTCAGAGATTATGAGGTTTTTGCCTCCTACAGTGAAACTTGCCTTTGCTATTTGCTGTGGCTTTCTAATGGCCTCAGGGTAGAGCTTCTGCTCTGTGACTGGCCATAGCAGCCTGCCCTCACCTGTTTCACCGTAAGTGATCCGGTAGTATCTGACTGTCACTGCAGGAGCATCCCAGGAAATCACAAGGCTAGTTGGGCTGGATGGGGTGACTTCCAGGTCCCTTGGAACATCAGACACTAGAAAAATGGAGAATTGAGGGAGAGTTTAAACACAGTTAATGTACATCAGCTACATACTCCACACATCACACCATGCACCTCTGCCAATCGTCTGTTTTAGTTCTAGTCCAGGGCACACATCTCTACCAAGTGATGCATCTGGTTAAAAGCCACCTGGCACTGGAGTGGATTTAATGAAAAAAGTTCTGTTGGCCCTGAAGACATCTCACTTGATCTGAAAATAGCATGGATCCTCCCACCTTTTTATAAATCAGACCCAACACCTCAGTATAACAGGCACTTCCTCACAAGCAGAGTTTCACCAGCTGGTTGGGAAGATCTGGTTTAACAGCGACTACGTTGATGGAGGAAAACCAAAATCCTCATGGTAACTTTTAGCCAGCATTCTCTCAAAGCTTACCTGTTGTTTGTTGGCCAACCAAGGGCACGCTCTCCTCCCTGCCGTTGATGGCTATGATGCTGACCACGTACTCAGTCCCTGGAAGCAGGTTGGTAAGGGTGATGGAGTTTCGTGAGGGTGGCACGCGGTCCTCCTTGGGCCTGCCACCACCATGCTCTGGGTGATGTCGGATTTTGTAGCCCGTAATGGTGGCACGAGGAGCAATCCAGTGGACGGTGAAAGAGTTAGCCGTTATATCCGAGAAGTCAAGGCCAGTAGGGGAATCAAGACCTGAGCATTTCAAAGAGACAAGAGACTGAGCTCCACCAACTGCTGGTGATCACCACCACTGCCATGTTTCATTAAGCTCAGTACCATGACACTGCTAGATCCTGAGCCAAATGCTATTCAGCCATGGAACTAAACAAATATGTGTTCAGTATCAAAGTCAGATAAACAAGCACTGTAGCGCAACTGCAGGAGAAGAGGGTATGGCACGCACAGATCATGCACAGCACCAGCAAACTCCATTACACAGTTATGACACAAGAGTCAGTGACAGAAATGTCTGGCTCTGTCTGGGCTTGCTCTCAGTCAGACATTGTTAATACACTCACACCAGGGTCTTCAATGCTCTATTTAAAACCAACAGAAGTTCTGGCTGTCAGACATAATGAAACACAAAATTGCCTAGTGTTTCCCAAGATGTGTATCTGCATTGCTCTTTGCTATCTCGCTGATGACCCATCAACAAAGTGGCAATACACAAGAAAGAGCAACAAAGTCTCATTATCGATTGTTTAATGGATGGCTTTAATTGCCCATGTGTCTCAGGGTGCATCTAGGTACCTGTTTTCTGGATTCCAGACAAAGGCGCACTCTCGTGTTGCTCAGAAACACTGTAGACTCTCACCAGATATTCAGTACCAGGAAGCAGATCTGTGGAGTTTAAGTACAGGAATTTAGACATACTTCTTTCCCAACAGCTAGAAGTCACTCAACCTATACAATCCGAAGTGTGTTTCTTAAGGGAGGTAATTAGGCTTTGCCTGATGGAAGATCTAAGCCTCTAAGACAGCAAAAAATTTAAATCAGTACTCCTCGTGTTAGCCTGAAGGAACACAGTACCCTGTATCAATGCTTCATTACTTTGTGGAGACTAGCTAGAAGCAGTTAGTTTTCTATAAGGTCCCTTCTAGTTATCTGGTGGTTTAGTTATGCACCAGGCCAAAGCTTTGGATGGTATAAGCTGGAATAGAGCTAAGGATTTCGAAAACAGCTATTTTAACTCAGATGAGCTCCAGATCTGGTCTCTTACTCTGGCTCAACCAATCCCATTCTAGGACAGAGAAAAAAAAACTTCAAATATAATACAGCTTTCATCCCAGCAAAAAAATAACATCAGCTTTTTGAAAATGCTCATATTTTGCTGCCACGTCCTGTAAGGTTCCAAACAGTATTTGTTTTCCAGTCCCGAGCATATGAAGCCAAACGAGCAATGACCTTTTGGCTCATTCTGATCCTCTTCCAGAAACTCTGCACTGCAAGTCCTTGACATTTCTGGCAAACCAGGTGAGTAATATGTATTTAGCCTTAATACTTAACCAGGGTGCAAACCAATGCAATTGCCCCACAGTCTGATTCATCACTGACCTTGGATTGATGGGAAAAACTTGCCTGGGGTTTGGCTTTAACCTGGGTAATGCAAGTGGCCAAAGCCCATTTAGTGTCACTTTGTACGAGGCTACTTCAACATCAGCATAGAGCAGATGAGAATTTGAACACTTACACTTAGAGTAAGAAATTTTTCTTTTCCCTCATCTTAAATAATCTATAAATGACCTTTATGTTTGTTTGACTTACGTAGGTTACCCACTTACTCGTTAACACCACCACATTGTCCGAGGGTGAAATTGTCAGCTCTGCCACATCTTCCTCCTTCTTCACAGGCGAGTAGCGCACCAAGAAACTGCTCAGCATGATGGAAGTTGGTGCAGTCCAAGTAACTCTCATAGTATCAGGCCCCACGTTAGTGAAGCGGAGATCAGTGGGAGGAGGCACAGCTACACAACAAAGAACAAATGTATTTTAGCTTTTGCTTCATAAAAATTGATCAAGAGGTATGTTCAGGGAATCACCAGAGAAAGGACCTCATGCATAACGGACTACTGCGTAGGACCCATGCAGACAGACTTCTAAACTACATTTCATTCTACTACAGTTAAAGAAAAATATGTCTGTACTACTGTCAGGCTCCTTTAACCTCTTGGCAATTCCCGGTACTTTAAATATACCCTCTGGGGCTAATTTGAGAACAAGGTAGCAAGTTTCAGCAACGGGCTTCTTGCAGCTGTATTTCGTATTACAGATGCAGAGCCAAGAGAGGTTTAAAGTTGCCATACAGCAGCTTACAGATGGAAAAGTCATCTCATCTACAATTCATACATGCACACACAGGAGAGGAGAGGGTCTATCGCTAATTTCCTACGACTCTACTTCTAGTCGTGTCGAAGGATTTACAACCTCAGGATTTTCAAACACAACAGGATTTCATGCAAGAACCAGGTTTCAGACCACCTTCTGCTCATGCACTAGAGAGACCCTTGACGGTGCGGCATGGCTGTCACTGGCGTGTCCTCGGGGAGTGGCATTGCACCTGCATCCTCCAGGGCATTGTGGAAAGAGAGGGGCCACCACGGAAACAGACTGCTGGAAGCTCAAACAGCTGCACCACGGCTGGAGGGCATTTGCTGAACTGCTCCACCCCCTGGCGCTCTTACTTTGGGGAATCACAGTTTGAAAGTCTGGTGAGTGTGCAGCTCATGTTTCAGGCTCTTGATTCCAACTGGATCCCGGAAATCTGAATAGCGGAAGATGAATGAGCCTGGCAAGTCTGAGGCCGTTCACAGTATTAAAATGCCATAAATTAAAAAATTGGGCAGCATATACCCATCACCAGCTGCCGTTTAGAAAAAAGCAGCAAGCTGGGTCTGCCTGGCTTCCCCGCAGCGAGTGGCTCAATTCCTCTTTGGACAAAGCCCCGTCATCTCAACCGCCAGTGCCAGCATGAAACACCGTCCATGTCACGAAACACAGAAGTTTTCAAAATTCACCCGTTTGCTGTGTCAGAGTGGTAGGGGCGCTCTCTCCGCCATTAATGAGTGTGATTACACTGATGTCGTAATCAATGCCCGGCTCCAAGCCTGTGACTGTGTAGTATCCTACTGAGGAGTCCACAAAATCTTCAAAAATGGGGACACTTTCTCCTGCCGCAACTACTGTGATGCGGTAACCAATAATGGTGGAGGCATTTAGCGGGGTCCACCTCAGGCCGATGCTCGAGTCAGTTATGTCAACAAAGCTTAGGTCAGTGAGTTGGGGCACCTCTAATGAGTTAAAGAGCAAACGGGAAAGGCAAAGACATACGAAGGCAAAAGAAAGACAGGGGAGAAAAAAGCAGTGTTCATCACTGTTGACATTGACAGAACTTCAGCAGCAATTGCGGTGATATGCAGAATTTCTCTTGGGGTTTGGGGGAAAAGGAGGATTTTTAATGGTTTGTCTTAATTGTTGACGTTTTCTGTTGTTTTCTTTTTATATTGTACCCTTCGATGCCTCCCTGGGCAAAGAGGAGCTGAAACCCTGATCCCCTCACACAATGCACTCCCACTTCAGGCACACAATTTTCAAAAAGACCTACAAGAGGCACTTAACTTGCAACAAATTTACTTTCACCAATGATGAGCCATACAGACTCGTCATTTTCTGATGAAGATAGAAACAGAAAAAGCATACCCCATTTTTTCTTTGCAGGTAAAACCCAAGAGATCGAAGTCTATTAACATATAGATAACAACAACTCAAACAGCAGTTGATTGACCCTCTAGAATTTTTGTCTATTTGAATGGTAAGACTAACTTTTATCATTGGGATCATAAAAATATCAACCCATTTGAAGAGGCTAAATCATTATTACACTCTCAGCTACTAAGAACCAAAGCTTCAGGGTAGATTACCCACGATCTGAACTATTTATACTGGGCTTGGAAAAAAGTCTTTATTTCCCATAACTGCTTGAGGATCTGGCCCAGAATTTCTGAAGTTCTACTTACCACTAACTGCTGCAATATATGTGCTAAAAACAGATGATAGTAGTAGTAAAAAGATGATAGTGAGTAGTAAAACATTTTTTTTGAAAGATGGATAATGGTTAAAAATTACTTTTAGATAAGAATTCTGTAAGAGTGACAACATCCCCATATTCAGAGGTTATGCCCAGCACATGATTTGGCTAAATCGTTCAAAATCTCAGAAATGAGCCACTGAATAAAGATCCTCTTTAAGAACCTTCTGGATATTGCCTGAACTTCTATACGGCTCCCAAGCACAGCTGTGATTGTTTTCCCTATCGATATTATTCCTACTAGTGAAGTTGTTCTTTTCCTGCACGTTATGACCAACAGAATCAGGCGGGGAGGGGGGAATGTTAGATGCATCTTTAATCAGCAGTGGCCAAACCCTCATTTGCCCAAGTCAATTGATTTAAGCCACAAGATTCGGCTGTATAAATTTAGCAAGATAATCCTGAAATCAGTGAGAGCTAATGGATGCTCTTCTTCACTCGGCATCAGACACCAGCACGTGAGTGAAAGATGCAGGACTCTGTATCCATTCTGTTGGATCTTTACAAGTTAGCTTGAAAAGGAGCTATGGAACAGTAATATTGCAAAAGACTGGCTTTAGTAATAGTGGTTATGTTGGTTATGTTTAATTTTAATGTCCTTCTATGGAAAGACTTATTTTACAGAATAGATGCAAAAAAATGCCAGTTTTCTGTAAAATCATTGTTTATCCATGTGGAATGCATATACCATATCACCTTTCAAGAGTGTTAAAAGCCAGAGACGTACATTCTTAGCTTTCCCCCACCAGAAGATGGTAAAGGACTGAAGCTATTACTGCTTTAATTATGCAGTACCACAGCATTAGTTCACCCCCAGGGAGCATACAGCACTTCAGTGAAGCACAGAAATTTTAAAGCAGTGTTATAAGAGCAAGCAAACACAGTGGCTGGCATCATTTCAGGGCTGAGCAGAAACAAAAACAAAACGAAACAAAGCCCTCACAAAGAAAAATGGAATTAAACCATTCAGGGAGATGCATACTGATTTTGCTACTGTGGCTACAAAGGTAGTTTCTGCAGTCACAGCAGCACATAACGTGAGGTGGCGCACACCACCACGCTGTGTCCCAGAAGTGCGACAGTGATGGACCTTTCAATCTTCGCTTTCCCCTCCCTTGTGCTGAAGTGATCATCTGCTACTACGGCTGCCAAAATTTCTCCTGTGCTTGCTTCCTACTCATACCTCTCTTCACCTACTTCCTATTCCCACCAGCTGTGCTCCAGATGCAGGGGCACTTCAGGGCCAAGTTAAATCTCTCTTGCTCTCCAGCTCAGTGTACTGATACAACAGATCCATCTCTTTACCACCACCCTGTTGTCAGACAATGTAGGCTGCCAACAGAGAAGTACACAGGTATAAAAACTGCTCTGTCACATGTTGGTAGATGGTTACTCTGCTTCTTGAGACTAATCTAAGCCTTCTGTCATCAGACTAATAGAAGGTCTGCACTGCAGAGCTCTTGGCCTTGGGAATTTGACTCTGAATAGCTAAAACTGATGCTCATCCTTTCATTACCTGGTGTGACGGTTTCAGAGATGGGGATGCTCTCCTGGTTGTCCTTGACTGAGTAAACACTGACGTTGTACTCCACACCAGGGTTTAGGTTTTCAAAGGTGCAGGTGGTCTGATCTGCACCTACTACTTCCTCCAAGGTAGAGCCCTGCTGCCCGTTGGTAGGAGCAGTGGTCACTCGGTACCCAGTGATGCCTGAAACACAGATGTACCAGTATGCAGTAAATCTCATTCCATACCAACTTACATCAGGCCTCCTCAGTAGCTGAAGCAAACACATCACATTTTACAAGTCATTTTGCCACCCTGAGCCCAGCAGGCAAGAGGTTGCTCTGCAAGTACCTGCAGATGAGCTTCCCAGGAGGTAGCCACACCACTCTCACAGCCCAATTTCAGTTCCCTTTGAGACTGTATCAAGCTAAAAATCTCATGTCTTGTCGAGAAAAGATACATCTACTGACTGAGAGTGGGGTTTTCAAAGGCTTTCAATCCCTGTTTTACAGAAGTCAATTGTACAGCTCCCATCAGCTATTGTGGGAGAAGAATTGACCTTGAGGACTTTCAGAAATCCCATGCTTACTCTCAATAACGTCAACTCATCCTTCACTGCCAGAAATCTTTTTGGTCCATTTTGCTTTCCTTCCCTAGTACTTCTTTTAAACCACCAGGGATATCTGAAGAAATCCTTCAAATCCCTAAACCAGCTGAAATATTTAACCACATTCATAATCCAAAATAGCATTTTATGTGTAATGTAAATCACGAAGAGTCCTACCGCAACCTATACTTAATAACTGTGAATTGGATCCTCGAATATATCTAGAAATATGTACATTTTTCCTTAAATTACTCAATAGCAAGCTTCCCATCAAAGTCTCCTTAATGAACTGCAAGGCACTGCACAACAAACATGAGTGTTCTGGTACAACAGGAGGTTTGAGCATAGCGTGAGTTCACGGTTACCTGGAGTTGTGCTTCTGTCCCAAGAGACTATCAAGATCCCAGTATCAGGATTGGGCTCCAGGCGCAGGTTGGTTGGCGGAGACAATGCTGCAAGTGTTCAGACAAACGGGTCATTTATGGCACCGAGAACTGCAGTAGTTCCCTCGGCATCCCTCCTCCCCAGACTATATCCTCACCCTTCAGAATTAGCTAAAAAAATATTATCCTGAAGTTGTGACCCTGCATTGCGTGAGCTAATGCCACTGTCTCTTATGCACCAAAACCAAAAACATGTCCCAGGCCACAGAAAGAAGAGACTAAAACTGATGTCCATAAGACAGCCATTCGTCTCCGGAGCACAGAGGAAGCAAGTAGAAGAAGGAGTAAGTGTGAAAAAGCAAATGTGTCATACGTGTGGTCACTCTCCTGATGATGGGAGTCTCTCTCTCCTGGCCGTCCATCAGGACTGTGAGGCTGTACGTGTACTCCACTCCAGGGGTCAGGCCAGATATCACGATGCTGCCAGAATCAGAGATGACCTCCCGGGGAGCCTCTCCACCTTGACTCGGGCGCACACCCAGCTGCAGAGAAGCAGCAAAGTTTGGTTTTCAGTCCTGGATACTCCTGTCCAAGCTATCAGCATCCCGACTTGCCATCCAGCGTGAGTATCACGGGCCCTTATGCTGAATGCCAACTGTTAACCCTGTAACTTGTGCTTTAGCTGTCCCGCTGATGAACCTGACCTGAGGCCTAGAGGATATGCTTGCATCAACCTCTGTGACCTAGACCTGCCCCCTGGAGGCAGCACATCTTTTTCACCTCTTTCCTTTGTGCTCCTGTCTTCACTGCAGTCCACAGCAAACAGCTTTAAACTGTTGCAATGAAGCAAGAGGAAAAAGAAAAACAGGACTTGAGTTTCTCCTACCTTGAAACCAATCCTTGGGGCAGGCGTCCAGGTGATGACAATCGAAGTCTCAGTCACCTCTGTGTTAAAAGGAGGAACGGAGCCCACAGGCTGATCTGTGAAGTGAATTGACAAGAGCTGAAGTCAAGCTGCTATGATGGCACCTAACAGTTAGAAAACCTGATATATAGCAGTTGAAATAACAAGAGATATGTAATAAGTGCTGAACTGTATTACTTTGGAAACTCCAGCAATTTGGGAGGGATCTGACAGATGAATTCTGTGTGCTGCTGGGCTTGATAAAAACTGTATGCACTGGTCTAATCGCAGCCAGTGCTTTTGTTGTTCCTGAGGAAAACATAAGTGTTGAACTGGGCATCATGAGTCCTCTATACATCCAACCCCCAGAAGATGGAGAATAGAGTTTTTGGCATGGTATCTAAAGTGTTCCTCAAAAAACCAGCTTTTTTTTTCTTCACCCACCATATGCCATTCAATCAGAAGGATATTACACCCTTGTCTGTCATTCAGCTGTCCCAGGTAGGACTAGTTTGTTCCTCACCAACATCTTCAACTCTTTTGAAGTCAGAAGAGTGAAAGGGAGCTCAAAATCAATCCGAGGAATCTGTGGTCTCATTGATATGTCAGGTGCATCACAGAGAAGCCATTCGTGCATTTGTGCAGCCCAGAATCAGTCTAATAGCTCCACGGAATTTAATCTGACTTGACTTCGTTACTAATGAAGAGACCTATTTATTAAACTAAAGTTATAAACTGTACTGATGTCATTCCGGAAAGCCAGAATTTCAAGGCAATATTCATTTAAGATACCCTGTCACATCCAAATTGAGAAATATTTACAGATAAGGCTGTTTGTCAGCAAAAAGCACCTTGCCAATGCCAATAGTGTTACTCTGATTAAAAGTCTGAACCTTTATTTAAATTTCACATTGTTCTAAAATAAACTGCATTCTCTTTTGAAAAGAGGATGTGGTTCTAGGCTTGGGTGGCTTTGAATTCTCTTCGTTTATATGACTGCTTCATCATTATTTAAACAGTGAATCTATTTGGTCTTTCTAGAAGTATGTGCGGATTCTTACAGAACTCTCTTTCCTCTCAAAGTTTGCTTAATATTTTTTCCAAGCCAATAGCACAAGTACAGATGACTGAAACGTGTTAAAAAAAATAAAAATCCAAGGATAAAACACAATGTTTGTGTCAGTTTCTGTAACTGCAGTTGAGCTGCCTTAGATGGTACGGTTAAGCTTTAGAAATGACTGCCTTTAGCTTTATACAAACGACAGACCAATCATTCCTTGCTCATTTTAAGGGAGCTGTTTGCTTTCCTTGATTTGCCTATGCCAAAACCAAACGATTGCAGAGATTAAGTAAAATTCAATTTGTCATTCAATTAAACAAAAACTGAGGTACCAGTTTTTAATCACCCAAGAGCTGAAATACATTTCACTAAAAGTTTTTTTGATGCGAATAACTCTCTTCTTCCTGCCAAATAGTTCAGAAAGAAGAACAAGGAATATTTCCCAAGCGTTTCTGCTGGAATGCTACTTCAAAGGGCTTCTTCTATAAATGGATTCACAATAGCCAGTTTCAGCACAAGTTCTGAAGAAAAGCCAGGGCATTAGGGAGGAGGAATATGTGCCTGTTATACTTACAAGTTGTGAAGACTCCAGTCTCTCTGGCACTCTGCAGGTCGTCTTTAACTGCCACGAGGTACACGGTGTACTCAGTGCCAGGCTGCAAGTTCCTGAGAAGGTACTTGGTGGCAGAAGGTCCAACATTGTAGGTCCTTGGTTGACCTCCTCTTGTGGGACCTGCAGTCAGCCGGTATCCTGTGATCACGGCACGAGGCCGCGTCCACAACACTAACACCGAATGCTCCGTGGTGTTGAGAAACCTCAGGTTGGTGGGGGCATCAAGCTCTGGGGAAGAAAAAAACGTCATGTGCATCAATTCTCCAGCTGAATCTCTACTCAGGCCCTACTTTCAAAGCATGTCCGTTACCACACAAGAATCACGGGTGTACAGTGAGGTTGCTGAGCCTGCATTTCTCAGCCTGCGAGCGAGGAAGAGAGAAAGTGGGGACCGTGAAAGAGCTGCAAATAGAAGCGATATAACTATATCCAAGCCTTGCTGGCATCTGGTAATATGCCGGGCCAGGCAGACCTGTGCGTTGTGGGCTGTGCCGATTTGGGTCGCTGCCGTATGTGGCATCCCATGGGGAAGTCAGGCTAACGGCTGGGGCGAGACAAATGATCTCAGCCACACTCAGGAATTTCAATGGTTCCTCATGAATGCTGAGCATTTTTTAAAAATCGGCTCAGTTTAGACTTGTCAGCAGAAGCATGGAAACCTAACTTTAGCCCTTTTTCACTAAGAAGATTTATTCTTTTAAATCTTTGCCCAGTTCTACTCTCCTCCCTCTCAAAACCCCTTCCCAAAACAAAACACCCCCACTTTGTCATTCTTGTGTAAAAATAAATAACAGTCAGCAACTTTCTGCAGAAAACCAGTTCCTAGATCTCCTTTAAAATAAGCACACTGTGGAACCCACCATGGAACAATTCTAAGCACGCTCATCTCTCCCACGGGACTCAGCAACAGTTCTTTTTATCACTGCTCTGGGAAGCTGCCGAAACTGATAAACCAGAAAACTACAAACGCAAGAGGCTGAAGCCACACAGCTTCTTCAGCACCCCACTGGAGTCCAGCAAGTGGCAGAGATGTCACCACCTTTGGCTGAGACAGTGTGTGAGGCTCAGAGGGTGAAAGACACTGAAGCACCTCACCCCCGTGGCGGCAGCAAGGAGTTTATAGTGTCTACACAGCAAGTTTGGCCACTTTTTCTAGGTCCCAATCACATGTTGAAAGTAAAAGCAGTTGAGGAGAGGTCCCCCGTCCATGCTCTTTTTTCATGGCAAATGCTTTTTTCTCCCCTGAGTAGATAACATTTTTGTGCTAACAAATGTTTTTGTCACTCTCCCAGTGATTCAGCGAGAAGTAGTTTTTGCCCTTTTTGTTTTCTCCCTTTTTGAGGGGGGAAGGAAAAGGAAGCGAGGAACTTCCTTCTTCCACCACTTCCAAAGATGGGAGAGATGATAGTTTTAGAAGATAAAGGATGAATGTGACCCTCCTTAGGCCCACCTCCAACCCCTGGACTGACAGTCACCTTTATGTCTTCTTGATACTTAGATCTGCGCTAAATCTCATCTGACAAGGATCGTATCTTCAAGGATTTGTAGCCCACAGCCAGTTCCTTTCTGCACAATTCAATTTGCTGGCTCTGTTAGGCTTTTATCACTTCCTCTCCCCATACTAAAGGAAGAAGAAGATTAAAAAGCCACACACGCTCAGAGTTTATTTGTAGACTGCTTTTTAACGGAAGGCCAAAAAGAGAATCACGTTTACACCGTGGGAAGAGACTTCTGCTGCAGGGTTCTCCTTGGGAACTCTGAACGATTTCTGTTTCCCAGGACTTTCGATTCCAGGATGCAATTTATGTGTATACTTTCTGAAATGTGGTTTAGGCAAAGCAGTTAAACGGATGATCATAGCCTATGGAAAATTATTCCAGACATTTGTAACCAGCCCTGTGCTGTCTGAATCAAATGTCTAAGCTCCGATGTACACTTCTGTGTGTTGACTTTCAGAGCAGCTGTACACCTAGCCAAGGCTCCTGAAAACAACCACAAAAAAATTACAGATCTAACCAGGAACCTAAATGGTTCCAAGAGAAGTTGCATCCTTGCTTTTGAAAGCCTCCCTTGAAAGATGGAGGGAGGCTGTGAACATCATCTGTGCTACATTCCGAGAGTGCATCATCTGTGCTACATGTCAAAGAGCAAACACAAGGATCCCATTCTCCCTGCACAGTCAAGGGTGATGGTAAGAGAGAGAGACAATATTCACAGCTCCTAACTTTATGGATGTTAAGTAGATAGTATTTCTCAAGCAGTTTATCCTATTTTCTTTCCTTCAATTTCATTTTTCTAAGAGTTGGGCTGGATTCTCAAAAGTTGCTCTCATTTACTGAGAGGTATCAGAACAGCAGCAGATGTACATAGTTGAATTCTGGTCCTTTAAATAACGTGACCCAACCAAAGAACACCACAAAGACCGAGTCACCCTTCTACTGCCCAGGAAACAGGATCTGTTCAAATGAACCACATCCCAAGTTCCATTTGGTATGACTCTCTTGGATCAAAAATCATTCATGCTAAATTCCTCCTCTTCCATCTGAAAGCTTACATCTGGCCAAGCCACTGCTCCTCTCTTCTCCGCACTTCTGCAAAGCAAAAAGCAAGGCCTGACAGACTGCGTACTTGGCTTGTCAACTTGCCTCACGTTGCTGACGTGCCGCACTGCCACTAGATCGGTAGCAATCGTGTTTTGAGAGATCCTGCACCACCCTTCCTGAAAAGGCTCCTCACAGCTCTTGTCAACAATCCGTTGAGATCACTGCAAACCAGTTCCTCACACTTGGATGGGATGACAGTGAAATTTCTGGGGTGGCAAGGCAGGCTGTGGAAAGCCAGGCCTGAGCCAGTAAAGCTGAAATGCAGTCCTCTTAATGACAAGGCCTGCCCTTACATGTGCCTGCAGAACTCCTACTGCTGACATTGAAACCAAAAATGTTTGTAGCTGTCAGAAAGGAGATAGGGATTTTCGGAGCAATCTCGGCAAGGCTCCTAAGTCATACTGAAATCTGCCCAAAGGTATCCTCAAAAAACAAAAAAAAAAATCAAAAAGAAATCACAGGCTTCAATCTGTGCTGCAAAGAACTGCAGGGCACATCAGTTCTCAATCAGTAATAAAGTAGTTGAATTCCAGCCATACAAAACTGTTTCAAAGTGCCATGAGAGTTAAACTCCCATTGGAAAGCCTCGGAGGAGGATAAATCTGCTGAAGAGATCATTGTTTGACTGAATGAATTCCCAGCCCTGTCATCCAAGTTATAGGATACCTCCTGGGCTATAACTGTTGCACTTTATGTGCCCTGTTTATGTATTTCTCTAAGCGACAGAGAAATATGCACTTCAAAAGGTCGAAAAAAATGTGAAGGAAAGACACTTACTGGTGGTTTGCTCTCCAGTCAAAGGTTTGCTCTCCCTGCCCTGGCTCACGGCAAAGATCTTAAAGAGATAGGTTGTTCCCGGGAGCAGGTCAATGACTTCAGCGAAAGAGCTCCTGGTGACAGGCAGCCTCTGGCCGTGTTGGCCAGGGCGGTTGACAGGGATCACTTCCACTCGATAGCCAGACACTTGGCTCTGTGGGGGGGTCCACATGATGGTGATCTTGATATCAGACACCTCCACAAACTGCAGATCTCTGGGTGAAGGAACTTCATCTGAAAGCAGAGTGACAGATCAGTGTTAGAAGGAGTCCTTAGTAACCAGCAGGAGAAGCAACAGGTTTACATGGAAGGAAAAAAAAAGTTCATTTTTATAGAACAATGGCTAGCCCAAGAATATGACCCAAATTAAAAATGTCACGGTAATCTTATCATAAACATGTATGCACGCATTCCCAGACAATATTCAAGCAGACTGCAATTTAAAATGTCACTGCATAGTTTCGAGTATTTTATGCCTTCAGTCAGAGAAGGCATCTTTCTGTCACAAAAAGAGGACTGAACGATCAGATGCAACATGCTACAGAGCTCCCAAGTATATGCAGCACCGAAAGCTTGTGGGAGAAAAAAAATACTGCAGGGGCTGGAAACAGGAACCTCCTTTTAAAATGAAAAGAGAGGGTTTTCAAAACCCATGGCACATTCTGAATGTCTATAATTAACTTCAAATCTGTACTGGGGCTGATCTGGCCTTCCTGTAGTCAAAGACAAAATCCATTTCCCTCTGGGTCCACAGTACTGCACGCCCTTGAATTCTTACGTTTCAATTAAGTTTCTTTAGATTAGGACTGATACTGCCCTAAGGTTAACCAATGCACATTCTTGGAAGATACCGATGCCAAACCATAAAATCATTGAGCTGAGTTCATTCCTGGTAAATTCTGAGTTGCAAACATGTGCTTGCAACTTGCAGGACCATCAAATTCCACTGCTACCACATCAGATCCCCATTTTTTCACTATCCTTTCTTTTGGTTTGGCTATTCAGCCCAATTGGATGCTTAAAGAACCCTGAAACCAGGAGTTTTTTTTAATTCTGTCCGCCTCAAGCTCAGCTCATATGGTGTTATTCTGGCACATCACTCAATGCTGAGCAATCTCCCATCCCCACAGACTGCACTGGAAAATAATGGTTAGGCCTGGAAGGGGAGAAGGAGATGTCAGGTGAACAATTTAGATTTGTGTTGTGGTGTCTGACTACACAACCTTAAGCATCTCCAGGCCCAAGTACTGAGGTAAAATGATTTACCAGGCTCTTAAGAGGATCTCTTAGCAGAATCCCCTTAAGACAGCTTAGGAAACTCTGATCTCTTTTTTCCACAGATATAATGCAAGACAAACCTTTTGACCCGTCAGCAGTCTGATCCCTAGGAATTACAACCCTATTAATGCAAAGTGGTGGCTTGACTGTGCCAATTCATAAGTGAGTGTGACTTTACTATAGAACTCCAATACCAGTGACACTTATAATCAAAAAACCCAACAACGATGACAATACCCGGAACTGAGTCCATTTCAGGATTCATTTATCTAGGGCAATGCGCAGTCATTTGGCTCTACGTACCAAAAGAAAACTCGGGTGACTGATACCCAGAACATGTTGGCCATTACCTGTGCGTGGGACGCCTGTGGTTTCCTGCTGGATGAAGATCGGGGTGCTCTCCTGGTTTTCTTCCACTGCGTAGATACTGATGTTGTACTGAACACCCGGCATCAAGTCACTGAGCGTTACAGAGGTTGCAGTGTCAGGCAGGTTGAGCTCTGTGCTGCTGCCTTCCACAGAGGGTGTGTAGATAATTCTGTAGCCTAAAGCAAGAGAAGTATATACAGTCCTCAGCCACAACCAGTTAGTCAGCACAAGGAATGGTAGAAATGAGAGCTAAACTGATCTCCCTACCGAGGTTTCACAAAAATAAGTCCTGAACTTCAGTAGGTTTCCCTGTGCTCACACCCCATCTACAGATCACACCTTCAGAATGCCTCACAAAACATAATCTAACCTGGATTCGAATATTTCTGAGTTTCTGAGACATGTGGATTTCACCCTGTGCAGTTCTCATGCTTGTTACGGGATGATCTGGATGACAGATATATAAAGAAGGTAACAGGGCTTGATTTTATTTAACACAAATACAGAAGGAATTGTTTCGCACCCAGCCTCCTGAATTGCTTTGTTCAGACACTGAAACCAAGCAAACGCTGAACTGCCCATGTGCCTTCCAGATGGTCTCTCAGACTGGGCAGAATTATGCATTAGATCTCTGCCCCAGAGCTATATTTCATTTTCTTCTTTACCTACATTTCAGATGCTACCAATAGCGCAAAAAAGCGCATTCCAATTAGACAAACCTGTGATCGGAGCCTGTGGTCTGCTCCAGCTAATGACAATTGATGTGTCATCTACACTTTCCACGGTGTGATCAGGAGGTGCATCAGGAGCTGTTTAAGGGAACAAACAGAGGACAGCAAGCGTGAGGTTGAGAGGTAACACAAATCTATTGAACAAACAATAAAAAGAGCTTTCAAGGTGCAGAAACACCCACCCACACACACCTGTAGTCTGTGAAGTAGACAGGATCAGATTCTGCTCGCCTTCTTCAGAGATCTGATAGACGTTAACAATATACTTGCGACCAGGAAGCAAGTCAGGGATGTTGACAGATGTGGCTGTGCTTGGAAGATCTGAAGAAAGCAGGAAAGAAAAAATTCCCTTAGCAATTCCATCTTCTTGCTTTCTCTCTAGATGAAATAACTGAGCCCTCTGTTCTAATCTAGGCTGAACCACAGTCTTCCTGCAATAAACCAGTAGTTGTTCTGCACCGTGTCTTTAGCCCACATCCGAAAAGTTGTGTGGAGAGTCAGGACAGACCTCCACACTCAGCAAGCAGGCAACACTTAAGACAGCAAGGCCGGCTGTGTGATATGGCAGGGCAATTTGAGCAGCAGTCCCCTGCACACTGCTGGCATTTAGCCCTCTCGGCTAACCGAGTCCTTGTTTCATATCCTAGCTGTTGTATTTTCAATACCAAAATATATGGGAAAATTTTCACATGAATAGGTTATGTGGAAAGACTGACTCATGAGTGGAGAAGAACAACATTATGAGGGCTGATGAACTTCTTTCCCTCCTTCCTTCCCCCAGATGTCCACCTACATGCCAGATGTAGGAAATTCCCCATGAGGCAGCTCCTTACTGGCCAGACTGAAGCCAAGCATCTTAAGGGAAATTGGGAATTGCCTTTCAGTTTGCCTGTAAACCTTTGTCTAGATAGATGAGCTTGGGAGCTGCTTCACAGCACAGCTCAGCTGTCTGGGCAGCCAGTGTGCAGACAAGAAAGCTGCTGAGAGCGCTCGCAGTCCCAGCGTAAGCCATTTCTGCTCATGAGTCCAAGCCTGCGAGTTCAGGGGAGCAACAGTCCAGGGAGAATCATTAGGTCAGAGGATTACTGTTCTTGTTCTCATGTTGTTCTTCTATTGCCCTCACATCCGAATAGCTACTATAACCTCAAATCCTTGTGAGATATTGCTATCACCATTGTTAAGATAGGAGATTAGGAAGAAGGAGTTAAGATGAAATTACGTGTAGTGACACAGGCTGTATGGCAGATGTTGGAAAAGCAGATTCAGTTCCTAGGTCTAAGTCCAGTGCCTTTAACCAGCTTCCTGGCTAAGTTGTCACGTTATCAAAGATGAGTAAGATCTGATCCAAACAAAACAACTGACACAGCGGACTTGGAACAGACATCCATGAGATGACAAGTAGCCAGAAGAAGGCACTTGGGAAAGATTTCTCTTTTTCCATTCTGAAGAAAGGACAAAGGTATAGCGAAGGAAATTAGCCAGGCAGCAGGTTTGAAAAACAGATTTGGTTCTCTTCTCATCTGCACTGCTGCTCACTTCAGGGTACTGTGGAAGCTAGTAAGTTTACAGGATTCCAAAAGGAAAAAGCTATTGGACAAATTCACAGACCTGAAAAGAATAAATATATTTACCTACTGTTACTACCAATCTATCCCCTCTGGCTCAGGGAGTTCTCCTCTGCAGGATCCTGTGCCAGTATTCTGAGGGGATATTGCTGTGTACTTGCCTTGCTCTCACACCATCCTTGGAAATGAACTTAAGGCCGTTGATGGAGAAAGGACACTGAACTAAATGAGCTTTTAATCTGAGCTAGTCCTGCCAGTCTCATATCCTAACTGAATCATACCGAAAGATAGTAAGATCCTCGCTGTTTACACCACCTGTACCAACTGTCACAGAAAACAGCCACGTACCGTTAGCAATGTTTTGGTCTAGTAGACTCAAATATTGTCTCACCAAGATACTGTGGCTCATCACCCTCCTCGCTCAGCTCATACTCAACACGAAATCCAGAAACTGTGTCAGAAGCAGAAACCCAGGAGACAACAAAGCTGTTGGATGTGATTTCAGTGACTGATTCCGAAGTAGCAACCATGGGAGGAAGAAGAGTTGTCTCTCCTGAAACAGTGTTGCCTACAAAAGAGAAGCATAAGAGATTTAATTAATCATCCCTACTTTTATGTAATTGGGATGCACAAAACCAAGACTCAGGTGAAGGAGATTAGGATTTTCTGGATGCCCTGCTGTTTAACTTACTTGTCACTGCTGTGGTGCTGGTTGTGGTAAAATCAAAACGTGTGACTTCTTTATGGCCATACCGCTGAACACTGATAAGCTGGCCTTCGTATATCACACCAGGCTTCAGGCCTGAGATGGTGTAGGAGTTCTGGTAGCCAGGGACAGTGGCTTCCTTCCACTGCCTTGCAGAGTTTTTCTGCAAGAACAAGGACACTCAAATAGAAAGAGGCACCCTTGCCTGCAAGTAGGAGTATCTAGTGACCCAACCCCCTACATGGCTACCCAAAACTGTGATATTCAAACACAGGTATGACTTGAATAGCTGATGCACAGACAGAATTCAAGATGAAGGAGATGACAAAAGTGTGCCACGAGGCAGGGCTAATGATGTTTTGGGTGATTAGGTTTTACTGGGGTAAACTGAAAAGCAATCTAGCTTTGAACTTTTTTCTTTTAAAAGAAGTATCATTTGTAGTATGTAAACCAAACTCATTCCTTTACCAAAAAAGCAGAAAGGCATGAAGGAATGGCTAGAAAATGCATATCTGAAGGCTGTCCACAGCAACATTCTGAGCCATCATCTGAAAACAATATATCGAAAAGTTCTTCACTTCTACCCTGTGTTTGAACTCTATGGGAAGCTCTAAAATAATGCTCCATCCTCTGAGGTTTGCACTCCAATGTTTTAAAGTCCATTTCAGTCAGGCCTTGATCCAAAATACACTCTAGTCAGTAAAAAGACTTAAGTGCCTTTAATGGCTTTGGATAAGGGCCTTTATTGTTCTCTTAATAACAGGCAGCATCAAGGTACTGATGTTCTGAATCATTAAGTGGTCTTTTGTGAAGCTGTACTCAGGGGAACTGCAACACAACTCATCTACGTTGGTTAAACCGAATCATTCCTCAAATATGAATGAGCCAACAAGCAGTGGTTAACCAGATTTGGTTTAGATTTTAGGGAAGATGGGAGATGACTCTTTAATCCTACGCTAGCTATTTATATCTTCATGCTCTACTCACTTTTACTTCCTCATTAACAGGAATAATTCTATCCCAGTTATCTCTGGATACGCACACAGTACTAACTCCATGTTTCTTAGGATAAAGAAGCTTCCACAAGGATTTACATTACTTAAAGTGAGGAAGGATATGAACTTGTCTGCTCACTGTGCTAGTGCTTGGGTTAATAACATACTGCATGAACACAGCGAGCCCTACCATTTGGGCAGGAAAACATCAAGTGTTTATACAGCACTGGTTGTCTTTGATCCTCAGAGTAACTGTTGACCTGGACAGGCCAAGGACGCTGGATTAGCAACTGAAGTTTGCTGAAATTGTGTCAGTCACCTCTTTCAGACAACAAAAAAAGAGACAAATAAAATATTTCTGATGAATAACAATGATGAATGTGGCACTCACCGGTCTCCAGCGCAAGATGTACTTGGTGATGTGAGATCGTTCAGGAGCATTCCACTGGATGGGATGGGAATTTGGCTGATTTGTACTCTCTGTGATGATCACCTGAACAGGCCCAGTTGATCCTGAAAAAGAGAATTGCCAGTTTTAACATACCAAGGATGCTTTCCTTCTGGGTTCATTGTGGAGTCATCAGAAAGTGAGAAGTTGCATGGCTCACGTACTAGTTCTGTATATGGGAAAGAAGTTAGACTGAGAAATGAGTTACAAGTTTCAGAAATAAGTTATATAAGAAATGTCTGCCAAATCCAGGTCTAATCTTGGGGCATGGTGAGGGCAAATTCCTGACCTGACATTGAATATACCCTGCAAAGAGATGCTAGTCTTGTACTATTTTACTAAATCTCTTTATCAATTGACGAGAAACACTGTATTTTCATGACAATGCGAAGGATTCCACAGGTAGTGGGGCATGTCTTCTGCATGCAAATCACATCAGAAAGGGTTGCCTGTCTTGCAACAAAACAGGCCCATAAACTCATGAAAATACAGTAGTGTTCTAATGCCTGAGACTACTAATTGCATTTAGCTAGACGAGGCTTTGACAAATTTTCTCCGCAAAGCTCTCCAACAGAGGAGGAAAAGTTTTATGATCCCATGGTTCTCCTTTCAGACCCTGTCAGCCCTGCTGAGGAGGTTTCACTGAACACTCAGCAGCACTGTCCTCATGTTAGTTCTCAGGAAATCCCAGCAAAGAGCACCCTGGAATCTGCACAAAAGTGTCTCATTTTAACCATTAAATACCTTCACTCTCCTGCCACTCCCAACATTTCTAATTATAATTTATTTAGACAATATGTAACATATATACCTGCTCCATATTTAACAGGACTTCCAGGCAAACAAACTTGTGCCCACAAGCAGAAAATTTCAAAGCTCACCTAACCCCAAACCTCCATTAGATTTGGTTTATTTACACAATTTCAGTCACTCTTGTGTCTGAAGAAGCCTAAAGCCCCGGTCTCCGGTCTGCAGGCATGCATATTTCACATAGCTCAGGGAAATGTTTGTTTAAGCAGTCTGACAGGAGTCAATGAAGCTCAGCGAGCCCCAGTAGGAAACTCAAGGAAAAAAAGCCCAAAGACCTGCTTCTTATTTTTACCCTCCTTAGTTTGCTGCCCTAAAGAAAGGCAAGTCCATAGTTCTGTCCCCCAAGTGTCCTTTTGCTTTCCCTCTGGCTCAAGCTGCATGGCCACAGAGAGAAATCCAGCCAGTTCAGTGACAGCACTGCGGGCTACACATACTGTTCAAGGGGGTGCTGTTCCAAAGACCTACACGATGTCCATGAAGCAAGTTGCAGAGAAGAGGTACTCACCTTATTTACGTGAAGTATGTAGTTGCAATAGACTTCAGAGGGGCTAGTCCCCTTCTGCTGCAGGGGCACCTATACTAAAACCCTCTTTCTGAATAAGCCTCACGTTCTCTTTCTCACCTTGCAGGGCACTTAGGGTAGCGAGCGAGTGGACAGACTCTTCCTAGCCTGTCTTGATACAAAAGCAGAGAATCATCTCAGCATTGAAACTGCTGCATCAAACCCTTATGCATTTTCTCCACTTTTATGCTCAGAGATGGGTTGGGGAACCAATGACACGTTGTCCAAGAGGGAAGCCAAAGCACAGACTTAATATTTCATTTTACTCAGGCTAAGGCAGCAACAATTGCAGCCTTTAACAGGGAAGTGGAGAGGTTTCCCCTATCATGTTCTTTTCAGGGAACTGAAACAGAATGAGCCAACAATCAGGCATTGCCCGTCCCTATAAAAATTTCCTGGAACTGAGTGGGCAAACAGGAGTTCAAATATTTAATTTCTTCAGGCCATTGATCAGGGAAATGTTCTGTTCCGTGGTGAATTTTCCTGCTGTATTGAG